TCTCTGCTCTCTTCCTCCAGCAATGTGTCTCATGCTGGCTGACATAAAAGTTTTCATATGACACCTTTTCTTCACTTACTTGTAAAAGTCATCATTGCATTAGCCCTAAAATCATCCTTTCAAGAATATTAACTCCATTTTTACAAATGAGGAATGCAAGCCCAGAGAGATAAGGTAGATAAATTAACCACAGCACGCTCAGCATCTACATTAGTGTCCTGCCACTTAAACGCAAGTTGTGAAGATAAATGCTAATGTCTAAACTATCTATATACTAGAGCTAAGTTTTGGGATGTGTCTTTTATTCATCTGGCCATATTGAATCAACTCTTTAATAATGAAATAGACTGATGCATATTAATTAGAGCATAAATAAATGTTCAAACAGAAAATTTTCATACAGACCCTGTGTCCTACTAAGGGACAGCTTCCCCATCAAAAGGTATTACACAATGCCAGGCACAAAATAAATCCCTTTGATGGTGTTATCTGTGTAAAATCAGAACTATAGAAGCCAAAAACTATTTCAGACATTTACAGCTAATGCAATAATGTTTTAAAAGGATAAGGTTCTATTTCCCAAAGTTTGAAATTCAGCTTTGATAGACAGGAGTCATATAACCCTGAGCAAATTAACCTTTTCAGAACTTCTTTCCTTTTTTTGCAGAAATGGGAATTAACAATACCTATGACATGGAAGGATAAGACATTAATAGCCTTAACACTGGCTTATATACCCCACCAATTTAACCTTGTGAAGTTTTTCAATTAAGTAGATATGTTAAGAAAGCAAGTATAATAACATTTTGTTTTAATGCTACTTTAAAAATGCATTATCCAAATAGATTCATTTAGGCCTGATTTCTATGGCTTATAGAAAGCAGTCTACCAATAAACACAATTATTATCATGAGATTCCTGACCTGGAGAGGACTAAGGTTACAATAATAATCTTGAATAATTTTAGGAGGAAGATCCTGCAAAACATCTTCTTTCATTCGTCTCAAAAGAAATGGCAGGACTTGGCGGTGCAATGCATCCATTGCAAGAACACCTGTTAATAAAGAAAATGGCTTAGAAAGTACAGAATAAAATACATGCACTTGCATAGAGTATATAGCATTACACCGCTCTCATACCTGCTTCCTGTTCTCGACTGGAGCTCCGAGCATCCCTACTTGCTAATATTGGTTTACCATATCGAGCAGCAAACTGACGTTCAGTCCCCAAAAATCCTGGCATGAGGAAATCAAATAATGACCACAGTTCCAAAACGTTGTTCTGAATTTAGGAAAAGAACAGCAGTTATCTTTTGTATACTGGAATGATTTCCTTATTCTTAAAAAGTAAGAAAATTGGCCCTCCCT